CACATTCTGTGTGGAGCACTGGGTGTTATGCACAAACAATGAATCATGGAACACTACATCAAAAACTAATGATGTAATGCATGGTGATTAACATAGCAATAAAAATTAAAAAAAAAGAAATATAAATAGCAAATAAAATGAGTATCATAGTGGGTTTTTTTACTATTAAAGTTATTGGTAAGCTAATTTAATTGCTAGTTAATAAACATTCACAAGGAATAGTGGTATTACCTATGTGCAATGTCCTCTTGTTATGAAATCTCACTTATTTATATAATTTTTGTATGGTCAGTCAGTAACTATATTTGTTTGGCAATACCAGTGCCATGTTTTGAATAATGATTTTAATATTACTGTTTACTATTTATCTTCTAAAAGTTTTGCCTTTTCAATTATGTACTAAATGACAATAATTAATGGCTTTTAATAAAAGCTTTCTTTACAATATTCTTTGTTCAGATAAGAATCAAATGAGCTGATGCTGTGACTGTAAACACCTTGTAGATACTGAATCCTTACATTAAATGGACACTGTTTTGATTACTATAGCATGATCTTGAAATGTGTAGTGAAGATGAAATACCTTCTCGATTTCAAGGCAATGCACCTAAGAAAAACAATATTCTGAAACATTGCTGGCTTAAAGAGGAAATAAGTTGGTTTGGGTCTTTTCATTTCTTTAGATATAATATTGTAAAAATAGAGAGTAAGATTGCCTAATATTACATGTATTATTCTAGAGATAAATTATTTCAAGATTGGAAGAGAATTTTAAAAACTGCTTTAACATAATTGAGATATTTTCTAAGTATATGTTATTAAGTATATCAGGCCAAATAATATTTATATGTATTAGGTAAACCATTATAAAAATACAACTAATTTACTTGTAAATCTCTATTTTCTTATATAATAAAAGTTGATAACAATTATTAAGCATCTTGTGCCAGGCATATCTTATTTTATCTTCACAGTAGTCCTGTAAAAAAGCAACTACTATTATATAACTCCATTATATAGATCAGGAAGACTTGGCACAGGTGGGTTAAAGAATTTTCCCAAGGTTCTACAATTGTTAGGAGGTAGATCCAGGACTCAATTCCACAAAATTGACCCTTAATCCCTTCATTATACTTCTTTTTTGGGGTTGAAGACTATATTAGGTACTGACAGATGCAAGGATAATTAAGTCACAAGATTTGAGTTCATGGAATTGACAGTATAAATAGCACTTTGGCTGTCAGGAGAGTCTGAGGTACCTCTCTCTGCTCCTGATTTAGAAAGACCAAATTATGATGCTTCCATTTCTTAATTCTATTTTTAAGACTCCTAAGACATTATTATTATAGTTTATTCAGTCAAAGCTCATACAATTGTATACATATTTACCACTTACCCTGCTCTTAATTCTCATTTACATCCCAGACCTTAAATCTGAAATCATGTTCTTTGTGCCCGATGAACATTTTTTAGAATTTCTTAGTGTATGTCTACTTGTGGAAAGTTCTGTTTCTTTCTTTTATGATATTAACATACCATTTTTAAAAGTTTTTATTGAAATTC